ATATATATATATATATATATAATTTTCGCTTTTTTCTACGCTTAAAAAATATTTAAGTGGTAAAAAGTTTTAACCGCAATGATGAAGTCAATGTTGAAATAAAATTATAATTCCGATCTAAGAGAATACGTTTTTTTTACAGCACTGTACGATATTAAAAAACTGATGTTACATAGCGAGTGCTTAAATATAATGGTGAATACGTTGAGAAATAATTTAAGGTTCAAATTAATAAAAGTTTAATGATTGTCCTATCTTTTATTTTATTTTCCTATGGTAGAGAAATTTATTTTTGAGATGCCCCTCGTAATAACCAATATATCATGTATTGACAATGACTTACCAAGATCTTTGCCAGCACCTATCAAGACCCAACAATCCGATGTGCCAAAGAGACCAGTTTGAAGAAACACAACTTTTCCTGTCTGCTGACCTTTAAATAGAGGACTTCCTGTTATTCTATGTATCACCAAATTATAACCATCTTCCGTTGTAACGTAATGTTCCTCAGCGGTGTAACCATATTTCTCTACCATACCGAACTGAATAGACATATAGAATGTTAAAGAAGAGTTCAAAATTTTTCAATAATCTGATTCAACATTTTACACGTAACACATTTTTTTTAAATATAAATTAACAAAAAGATATTTCTTATGCAAAAGAGGCAACATTTTAAATTGTATACAATTAATTTTCCAAAAAGTTTTTGTCTGTCATAAAAATTAATGTCTTAACTAATTAATTTTTATCTACATTAGTTGAACTTTTTTAATTTAGTTTTATCAATCTTAAATCTTTTTTGAAACATTCTGTAATATAGAATAGAAGTATATACAGTAAAACATTTTTTTAGAAATAAAGTTTTGTTTTATATAAACAATTAATCTTCTAATTGCGCTATTATTTTCTCAAGTATATTTTTAATGGGACGAAATATTAAAAAACAAACTCGCACTTACAAAATTCAATGTAGTTACATTATTGATTGTTGTTCTAATGTCTTCTGGCTTTCTTACTCTCACTATATGAGGATCCTTAGGAAACATATAGTTGAGTATTAATTTCGGAATGGATATCGACTGTCCATGGACATTTAGTTTTGGTTCCAGCAACACTATAGTAAGCATAAATACGAAGGAAGCCAATTTCATGCCCATTGTCATTATTACTGTCAATATCCGCGATTGTAAATTACGATTTGTAAGTACTAACAATATTATTTGATATAAGTTTTGCGTGTGTGTGCCTTCGTTTTCAAGAAACCTATAAATACAATTGATATTAGCTCTTATTTCTTTTTTTTCGTTTTTAAAATACGTTTTTATAATAAATATCAAAGAAATTTATTAAATTTTAGATTTTAAATTTGTTTTAATTTTCAATTTTTTACATAAAATTTTTTACTTAATAATTAAATGATAAATTTATTAGAATTTATAAAGTTTATTGAGTTAAAAAAGTTCTAAAAGTTTTTTATTTGTTTAACTAAATCAAATTTACTTTGTAAAAAGTAAAAGTAAAACTTTAATCGATTATTATTAAATTAATCTAATAAAATCACATTTAAAGAAAGATATATTTTACTCATCGATTATCGACTAAAAATCAATCTACGATATAACTCGAATCAAATCAAATCAATTTTTAGAGTCAATATTTTCTCAAAATTAATTCTCTTTGTATAAATTGTTTTATGACTTCTAATTTTGATGACTATTCCAAACAGTTTACATTATAATCCTACAAATTTTATTTTATATATATATCTACATATTATTCCCGTATATACATATATGCAGAAACATACTCTTACAACGATAATCGGACATTATGTATTTACGCATACGAAATCTCAAGTCTACGTTCAATTTCACAATATTTCACTGACACATTTAACCAATGTTCAAACAACAATCGACTTTTATTAAGTTAAACTTCTAATACTGAATAATCAGTTACATCAAACAAATAAACTTTGTCCATTTAAGTAGTATTTTCTAGTTTATTATTGCTGCTGATGTGTTGCAATAAATATTGCAAATTGGCACCAAATGTTGCAAATTGGCAAATAATTTATCCGACTATATCTGTTCTCTTGTATTTGTTAATACAGATATTAATACTTTACAATTCACGTATACATATACACAGTTTCACTATCTGACTGTAACAAACTATGACTATGAACTGATCCGCACATTTTTTAAAGGCTTCAGACATACTAATGTACATACGTACATGCATAACTTTACGCACAAATATTGGTCGCTAAATATTGGTGTACATTCATGTAGATTGCATGTCATGTATGTAATATTTGCTAATATTGACGTACATTGGCCATGAATAAAAGCTGCTTTTACCGTAAAGATATGTTGTGTTTAATTATTGTATGTTATTCACATTATGCTATTTAATAATATAAATGTAATTATTTTTACGATGCCAAGCAAAATTTTGCCTATATTTTTATATATTACAATTGCATGCAATAATAAGTGTACATGTATGTCGATAAAACTAATGTTTTTTTTTTTATGGAACGATACTTCGTACCGTCGATAGACTGCAAAGCACTAATCTTTTGTTGTTTAATGTATAGAAAGGCAAATTAAATTAGAAATAACAATTATATGATTTTACATTTTTGCTTAAGCAAATCTATCCATCGATTGAAATTGCTCTATATCTCGTGTATAGTTGAAAAAACGTGTTTAAAAGTTAAAGCGATGCAAGAAATAAAAACAGATTTTAAAAACGAGTAACAGATATTAACTAATGAATAAAATTCGACAGTTTACTTCGAAGTATGTTATACGTATGATATTTAATTGAAACTTCTAAAAATCATATAATACATTCACACTCTTAAAAAAGTTTTTTAAATTAAATTTGAAATAACTCAGCGGAAAATGATTGCATCTAACTCGTAACGAAGCATTTTAAAGGTAAACTGACTAATCAGAAATGCATCTTGCAAATTCGATCTTCGATTATCAATTTTGCATTTTCTCACTTTGTCACTTGCCATTTAAAAAAAATGACAGAATATTTGTTTGTCAGAACATTTAATTATCATTCAAATAATCTTAAAGTAGATCTTTGAAATTTTATTTTGCAATTTTATTCATATTTTTATCTTCATTAATTAATAAATTAAAGTTATCAATAATCATACAATTTTTCTTAAATTTTTAGTGTATCGCTTTAATTAAATTTTTAGTGTATATCGCTTTTTTAAAGTGAGTGTACGTTAAAATTTTTACGTACACATACATAATTAAACATGAAAACTTTATATACGAAATTGAATTTTTGTATGTATAATTGTTTTATAATTTTTATACTATATTAATATTATTTGTTGTAAAAAATTTGTTTAAAAAATTGTAGTTGATATTATTTCAATTATTTGCACAAAAATAAATTAATTATATATTAATTAATAAATTAATTTCTCTTATATACAAAATAATTTTTACACCTGTTTGTATATTATGTCAATGTATATACGACGATTTAACCATTTACATATTTAATTACGTAACATCTGAATGCGTCAAATATAAAGAAGGCAAGGAAAAAGCTAACGAGTACAGTGCGGTAATATTGCGCAAATAATAGTCTACAAACTTTTAATATTTTAATATTAAAAAAGGCAATGACATAATTTCAAAGAAACGTCCCTTTGGAATCATCCTCATCACATATGTTGCAATTTTGATATACTTCTTTTCAGTCCAGCAAGGATAAATCATTCGCAGGTTGCCGAATTTGAAGTGGCATATTTCTAATAAACAAATAAACTAGACGTCATAGATAATCTATGACGTTTTTGACTTACTTTGGGGTCTACGTATAATCTATAGTAATACGTTTAATATATGACAAGTTAATATGTGACAAGTTATACATATTTTATGTTAACATAACCACACACACTTTATCTATTATAAAAACATAACTACATTTGATACATTTACACGTATTAATTAATATATTCTTTTATAAGAGTTACAAGATTCTTTATTGATTTACTAAGATATATAACATTATATACTAACATTATATATTAACGATACTATTCTCAAGTCAAGCTATACATTTGACACATTATTTAACAATATTTCATACGTCTTTATTTTAGTAACCGCTCTAATCAATTATGAATAAACGCTACTTCAAAGTCACATTGACATGATATACATGCGAATTTTGTTATATTCACTTATTTCTTTTACATATCATTTGTATTTACATTTACTATATTATTAAAACAGATTTAATTATGTCAATGATATAAATTACTTACTTATTATTAAACATTATACTTACCTCTAGTACACAATTACGAACACTGTAATAAAGTAAAATGTATAATTTTTTAAAGCAACTTCTCTCTTGTGAATTGACCGCGTGACCTATGTCCGAGGTCAAATTTCTATCAAATGGAATGAGGACTTAATTCGGCGCGACTAGATTCTCCTTAAATAATCCTTAAATAATATTAAAAAATAAACATTTTAATATCAAAGGATCTCCTTTTGTTAAATGTTAAATTATAAACAAATGGAGATTGTAATCGAATAAATCATTTTTTTTATTATTATAATTTCCTAGTTTAGTTAGCAATTACCAGCGTGTTTTATTATTACCGATCTTGTTGTTTTGAAATGAAAAAACTGACAGAAACACTATCGTAGTACAGATCGCAGCGCTCGCTAATTATGTATATTATTAGCGCTTCTTGCGTAAAGAATGTCAAAAGAACATCAAAGGAATGTGCGAAATGTGGGCGACGATGACGATGTATCTTAATCTGAAAAGTTACAGATCCGGACTTTGCGTCACAATATCTCAGCTTATAGGGTAGAGAAAAAATCAAAGCACGTATAACACAATCGGAGTGTAAGCTATCGATTAAATTATACTTAAAACTTAATCGAGACAGCCGTTGTTGAGAACCGATAATCTCAATCTGATGCAACTTGCCGGTTCGCATAAAGGAGGCACAGTAGTCTCTCGCGCCATGCTTAGTGCCACTACTATGTCTCCAGATAAGAAACGTTTCTTATAAATTAAAATTTATTGTGTGTAATATAAAATATATCATTTAATTACTGAGATTAATTTGTTACCCAAAATTTCCATGCATATTTTTCAATCTCTTTGAGAAATCTGTCACTTCAGATTTGGTAACCTGTGAATGACTTATTCTTTCTCAACAAGGATCCAATTAGAACTCAATTCTAACTGGATTGAAGAAAAATATGTTAAAATTATATTATATCGTTTGTAAGGATGACTCCAAAGAGAGTCGAAATGTTCAATGTCATCTTCATTTTATATTGAAACAGTAAAAGTTTTTAGACTATTATTTGTACACTTACTGTTAATCACGTTGTACTCTCATTAACACATATTTTTTATTTTTAATTGTGAGTCCATACTGTATGTACAATTCGGATTCAAATATAAATCAAATTCTATTATAATAAGAAAATATACAATAAATATTAATTAAATGATATACTTACAAAATCTTATCATTTACAAAATTCTGTATGTTTAAAATGTTTTTATACACTGTCGCTAATGCTAACATCAAAAAAGAATCTTCACCATCTCACTTTTAGAGAAATTATTTGAACGTACATATATACTTTAGAGTCAGAAATCAAATCAGTAAATTCTTACTACTTTGGATTTAAGATTTCTTTATATAATTCTTCAAACCGTATGTTGCTTTCTGTACGAAAAATAACAAATATTGTATCTATCTCGCGTTCTTTAAAAATGAATGATATTTTCCGTTATTATCATTGTTTTCATTTTTTAGCGATTTCGGGTGTTACCTGAGAATATTCTTATAAATTTCTTGTCTGATGTCCTTTTCACTATATTTGATGTTGATGAAATTTGTACATAATTACAATTTTCTATTTGTTCTTAATTATCACAAGAAAAATTCTTTTAGATACAAAAAAAATTTTAGTAATATTTCACTATTAAACTGATTTTTAAATAATACCAAATTTCCATAGATTTGACGCTTTAACACAACATATTTTGATACGTTGCACAATTAGAAGCAGCAATCTCTTGCTTGCTCATTCCGCTGTCTACTAAATAAGTATATCGTTCAGAACATTTATAGATGTAGCGATCACACTTGTATTGTTACTATTATGTTATCCCCATTTCTTTAACGATTACGTGCGTCTATATCACTGAGAATGATCTTATAAATTTTCTCTGATGTCGTACAACAGTCAAGGATAGCAAGTAACACATTACCTGTGACGTTATTACAATTATTCTTTTTCAACGATTAACTAACAATGTTATTTATATTTCTATATATTTGTAACGTTAATAGTAACGCAGTTACCCTTTGGA